TACTGTACAGACATGAGAGTGATATCAATCTTCTTAATTTCCCATAATGTTGAACCTTCCTTAAACACTGACTAAATAGCTGGCTTTGAATAATGTGCATACTAATTGACCGTAAAAAGTCCATACACAACCCACACACACGCTAACCGTCGTCATTATGTCTGTAACTGAATCTGTTCTTGCAGAGATGCCTCGGGAAGCTTGGAGACATCACCTGAACTGGCTCAGCGGCTCATTACAGAGACTGACAGAGGAGGAAGAGGAGGGAGATGGAGACAGCATCAGTAGCACCAGGTTAGAGTGAAAAAAGGCTCACAGAGGGAAATGTGTTAATGTGTGTCTGCTTCCACCACCTTACTGAATGCCTGTGTGGTGTTCTTATTTCCATTAGCTGCTGTGTTGAGGGGGTGGTTAGTCAGATATTTTCCCCTTGCATCACAGCAGAGAGGTCCTGGTGCACTGCGTGGCTCCTCCAAGTGCTCATTAGAAGCTATTAGCTTGGGAAAGAGAGAGCTGTGGACACAACGAGTGTTGGAAAGCCCAATAAGAGTGAGAAAAAGAATGCAGAAGAAGAACCAAAGAAACAGGGAGAAAGTGGACTGAGTAAAGATAGCATATTAGCATGAAATAGGGAAAAGCAGAGAGCCTTGTTTGGATGGATTTAGAGAAAAAGAGCATAGGGGATGCAGATAAAAAGCAGAAAGCAGTTGATGTCCTAGAGATGGAGATGGCTGACGTGCCCTTCAGCTGCGGTTTATAACAGGGCCCATTATCCCGACCACCACTCCATTCTGGAGCTCCATGCAAAATGCTCAAAACATTGTTCTGAGCCAGTGGTAGAAATGTAGTACGTTGTGCTGATCTGAGCAAAGATGCAGCTGCCAGGGCCTTACAGAGGGGTAGGGAGGAGGGAGGAGGGAGGAGAGAGGAGAGAGGTAAGATAAGGAAGAGAGTTCTAATGATGGTATTAGGGAGATCTGTATCGCTCTTCTAAGTTCAAGTCATTGTGTCTTTGTTGAAGCTCTCTTTCTGCCTAAATCTGCCATCTTGGACACTTTTTCTTTTACAGTAATCCATGACACTCATGTTCATGTCTATTTTGCCAAAATTATGTGTTCTGTTCATGTTTAATCAACAGCTGAACACAGAATTTGATGCCCAATATATAACTATTTTAGAGATTATTTTAGTTTAACAGTTAATATAATTATTGATTAATATGCTAATTAACTCTCTTGTCTATAAATTGAGAAAAAGAGTCTTCACATTTAGGATGCTGGAACTAGAACGTAGAGGAAAAGAACATTGTGCTCAACCAAAGACAGAAAAAGGAGAGAGCTGGGGTACTTTCGACCACAGTACAAAAAGGTTTGCAAACCCAAATATATCCAATTTCCCCTTTATTTACATTTTTTTTATTTCAGCACAAGGAAATGGAATATACAGAAGGAACAGGAAATATTTGGCATTTTTCTTGAAAAAGACTTTAAAGACTGCAAGAACATCTCAGCTCTAGTCACATTCTTCCTTTTCCTGTCCCACTTTCTGTACTCTACCATCCTTCACTCATTTCTGGCAGAAATGAGAAATGATCTGTCGTTCCACATCTTGCAGTACTGAGTGAATAGAAAGTATTATCAATTTAAATGTGCATAGATTTATAAAGAGGTGGTATTAGATACAACAAACCTTGCCTACATTTAGGTTGGATTGTGTAGTTTGTAGATGTTATTTCATGCTGTAAAAGCATAAAACTGATGTTCATCACTGTTTTTGGGGGGTGATAATATTACTGGCAGCCACTCAGAGTTGTGGCTCATTAATAAAGCTCTTATGATGTAAACTACCCCAGACACCCTTTTATTTGAGGGTTGTGTGGCGCACTGGAATCCAAATCTTTTTATGAAAACTTTGGTGAAAAAACATCACAGATGCGTTTCATAGACAAACAGCTGTCCTTTCAGTTTGTCCAAATGTATTAAAATACCTCTCCTTCTCTGCTGTATAGCTATGTTTTTTTTTTATTGTTTGGACAACAACTTGGGTGTAAATTATTGGGCTGACAATTATCATCTGTTTTTTGGGGCAGGAAAGTTGTACATATTCACCCACATACCTTGGAAAAAGTGAGGCTGGGATGGATGAAGTGCCAGATTATTTAGGAACTAAACTAGACCACCCAAATCACTTTAGTTTATAGCACTGTTAGTCGTATTGACTTGGGAGGTTGGGAACAACTTAAATTGAAAAAAAAAGATAATTAATTTGACAGAAATTCTCTCCTCTTACATGTTTTTCCCACAGTTTTCAGCCACATGTCGTAGCCTTCATTGGCAGATAGAGTTTGTTCGGTCATCATGTAGGTCGGTTAGTTGTTATCATGTGATCCAAGTATAACATTTTGGTCAGGTGAAACTGGTCACAAGATTTTTAGTATCTAGTTTCTAGTATTAAGTATCTAGACTTTGTTAAGGATTGTTTTAGTCTAAAATCTGTTTCCAAGATTATAGATTATTCAATCCTGCTCGTTTGTTAATGTGCTTCCACCTCAGCAGCATGGAATAAATCCCTTAGATACTGCAGTTCCCAGAGGAACCACTTGTTTAGTTAGCTCTCTAACTGTGGTGCTGAGCTGTGTTTCTCCTCCTGTCCTGTAGGGGGCACCACAAACTCTTCGAGGCCTGGTTTCTGCTGGTTCAATGTGCCCAATGGGTGCAAGTGGCTGTCCAGCTGCTGGTGACATCGGGGCCTGAGGACTGTGGGCCCCTCCTGTGGCTGCTGACCTTCTACCACCACCCCACTAACAGGGGGCATCACAGAGCACTACAGCTGGTAAAGAGTTTCTCTAAAAAGCAACATTATTTTCATTTATCTAGTTTTTTTCTTTAAGTTTTTTTAGCCATGCTAGCAGAGTGGGTCTAGGGGTGCACATATTCGTCGGCCTGTTGGTCCACTTTGGTCCAAACTGAAAATGAATTCCCATGAAATTTGGTACAGATGTTTATGGTCCCCAGAGGATAAATCCTAATGACTTTGGAGATCCCCTGAATTTTAATGACATTCCCCTCAGCCACAACTGTGTGTTTAGCATAAATTAGCAAAACTTTCCATGGTGAACATTATAAACATTATACTTGCTAAACATCAGCATGTTGTCATTTTCAGCATGTTAGCATTTAGCTCAAAGCAGGTTTTGTTATTATGTAGCCATTTTGAATTGGAATGGACATTTTACTCATAATATTACCAGGTTATGTTGCTGCCCTTGCATTTGCAGCACTGCTGTAGCCAAATGGAAAAGAACAAGACCGTATTGAAGTTTTGAGGTTTGTTTGATTTGACTGCAGTGGAAGGTAGTGTGGGTATCAGATAGCCCGTCTAAAGCATGTGCAGTATCATAACTCAACAACATAACAATGTGGATGGTCTTTTATTTGCTCTTGGCTGGTGTATCATCGTTTAAAGCCACAGAGCGAATACAAAGAAAGAAGAATAACACATTAAAGAATAAATTATGGATGACCTCTATCTGAGAGGGAATGAGACAGTGGCGAGGGGAGAGAGAGGTACAGATGAGGGAGGGGAGCCGGGTGAAGAGGGTGATGTAGTATTGATTTCCCAGTGAGTGTCTGGCCAGCTGGCCTGAGTTTCATCTCTCTGTCTCCTGTTTGTCCGCCTGCTTTATAACCCTGGGAGACTCTCTGTCGTCGCCGCCATCACGCCCATTATGATCGTACGATCAACTCACATGGGGTTGTCTTTGTTCATCATTTATGAATTACTAATCTATTGATTTTTATTTTCAGGAAAGATATTTAAAGCAGTACTTCTTGATTCCAGCGTGGGCTATAAATAAACTTCTGTCAGCCAACCTTAAATTTATCACGTGACCTGTGTTTCTAGGTGCATGCGAGAGAAGCATGGGACCACCTACACTCCCTTTTCTTGGCCTTATCCCGTCCTCTTCCTGCTGACCACCTGCAGTCACTGGTCACTCTGTTGTCACCACAACCTCAGCGACCAGCCCTGTCTCCTCTATTGATCCTCAACCTCTTGGTCAACTTTGCCGTTTTCTTCCAACAATCGCTGAGTGGATCAACAGAGATTTTACAGACGGTGAGGAAACAACCTGTTATAATCTGGTGCTTACACAGTCATGCACTACATGACTCATTGTACATTTTGTTCTGCTGTCAAATAAATATGTGGTTGTGATTTATTTGAGAAGTTCATTCTTGACCTCGGATACAGCAGTTGAATCACACCTCAAGGTCCACTTTAGAGCTTTACTGGAGCTTTCAACCGTATAACACAATTTTCCTCACCATCAAATTTCCATTCCTCTGAGTACTTTAAGGACTTGTCATATGTATTGGCTTAAAAGTTGAGATTGAAACATTCTTATTCTTGAAAACAGCGGTGGACAAAACAGTCTCACTACAGGTTCCACTTAGTCTCCACTTAGATGCTACTATTCTTAGAAGTAATTGCGCATTTTCAGCATGATTTTTTATTTAATGTTTCTCATTCCATGTGCAGCACAGGTTGCATGTCAAATGGGCTCTAACTGATTAAATGTGGATATATCATGAAATACACAAGCATGACATCAATTTCTGCAAGTTTTATTTAAGAAACATCTAGAATTATCTAGTGTTCTGTTGAAATTTATACCATATCACAAATAATGAGTCCTCTTTTTGAAATAATGCCTTTTCAGAAAACAATTTTGCTTTTTGGCCTTGTCACAGACAATATCTTTTTGTCTTTGTGTATGTGTGTGTGTG